CAGGACCTTGCACTCAGCCTTGTTAAATTGCGTGAGGTTTGCATTGGCCCACCTCTCATTTGAAACACGATTTCAGTTTCTTTTATACAGAAAAAAATTCTGCTCTGTTTCCTGACAGTATACTGTTGATTTTTTTTTTTTTAATTACAGTAGTTTTTAACTGGATTTTAAATTCCTGTTTAATAATTTCTAATGGGTTTAGGACAGATTGAAAAAAGACGCAGATGTCCACATGTATATACACAAGGTTTGTTGCCCTGAAGTAAATTGAAGGAAACCTGCATTAAAAAAAAACCCAACATGTTATTTTATAAGAAATTATACAGAAGCTTGTCTTTTGGCCTAATTTACCCAGGGAATTATGTGGTGATTAAGCAGTGAAACTGTTTGCAGCTAATGCCCTTATGTAGACTCTTTACTGGTTAAACTGTGGACTAAAATGTGGGCTAGCTTTGGTTAAATATATTTTGCCAGATATTCAGTGGACAGACATGGGGCCTTGATGAGCTCAGAGTCCTGCACTTTCTGTAGTCTTCAGTGTTTCATACATACAGTTTAAACTTAGATGGAATTAGTTGGGGTTTCTTCTCATAATCTGTTCTATCCAGTGTGTCCTACATAGTTCTCCTATAGTACTAATACTTACACTGTCAGTTCCATTCTATATGAAAATGTAGAAAGAAAGTTAAATATTTAAAAAAGTGTTCACGTTTCAAAAATTAAAATCAATTTATTTTTAAAGAATGGAAAATGTTTGGTTTTTATATGCATGCACTGAGCAGAAGTTTCTTACAGCTATATTTACATTACTGCTGAATCTCACTTGTATTTGCTTTTCTGGCTGTCTGAATTTCAGTTCTTCTGAAACTGCCGTACATTGAGTGAAAGCGCTTTATCAGTGTTGCTGTTGACTTTTGTGGGGAAAAGGTTAGATGCTTGAACAACTGCAACAGCATTTTACTCCAGTTTAGTTTTCTGGTGTGTTAAGAGTCTGTCTGTGGATGTTACGTGAGTCTTAGTGGTGGTCAATCAATCCAACTGTTGCACCTCTGCATTTTAGGATACAGAAAGACTTTTAACAACAATGTCAGCTTTAGCAAATGAAACAAAGAACTATTTATATTGTTTTAATCAGCAGGTACCATAGTCATAGGATAACGAAAAGACAAATACTAATTTCGTGTGAATATGAGTAACTGATAAAGTAGTTTGGACATGCTTCTGTAATAGATAGTATTTCCATTGTATATAACTTGTTTTAACCAAGAGTCCAGTTCAGGAGTGTGTGAATGTTTCTCTTTGCCTGACAAAGACACTAAGATTTGTTTGTACAGTTAGGACAGCAAAGTGACACTGGAGAACAGTCTGTTTCAGGTTTCCCCCATACTCTGAACTCTGGGATTGTCAGCTTAATTGGAGACTGAAAACAATGGAATATTTTCTTGTGCTAATTTTTAGGTTGTTTTATAACAGCAGCATTATGAAACTGCAACTGGGATTTCCTTAAAGTAATACATCAATGCATTATAAAGAGTGCAGTCCAGAAACATGACTTGTATCCTGAATAAACAACAAATTGTACCAAGTCTCTCTTAAAAAAAGCCACTTGGACCAAGTTTTTACTACTTCCGAGACTCATTCTTTCAAATCCTGCTGGTAATTTTTTTTTCTTTGCAGCTCTTTTCAACTTAATCAAAGAGGATTTTTGCCTTTGTTGCAGTGCTGCAAGCTAGCACCATTCAAAAACCTGGCCATAGCCAAAAATGATGCACAAAAGCTGTCTAGTTTCTAAATGAAGCTGAAGGGCACAAGTACTCTTTTTCAGTTCCCTCAGTGAAAACATTGATTCTTCTTATTAAGAACAGTAAGTTATAGTATGCTCAGTTCCTGATCTTTTTTGTTATTGTTTATTCAAACAAATAATGTCTTTAAACTTGTAGATTAAAATTAATTTCTGTTTTGAAGGGTGAAATGATAAATACAAGAGAAGAACTGTCAAACATTCCGCTGTGTCTATTAGTCATTAAGGATGCTCTACAGCAATCTTTGAGTATAATTCTGCGTAGGGGAAAGGTGGTGTGTTACTGCAAACTGTCAGTGCCCTGGGACGGGATTTCAGTTGGCATAGGATCTTGGGAGAGAATTAGCCTTTTATGTTTGAGTTGTTAACAGTGTGCTGGCCTTTTCTCTCTAGCACCAATGACTGGTAATTCTTCTTCTCTCTTGGTTTGTTTTTGTGTTTTGGTTTGGGTTTTTTTTTTTTTTTTCCCCCATTAAGGATGTAGATAACTAGTGTAAACTTTTCAGTAACTGTCAAGTGTTATCTGCTACAGTACAGAACAGGCATTTTGCTGCTGAGTTTGGACAGTAGTAACATTTAATGTGTAACATTTGAAGACCACTAATTCTCTGTTCTCAAAAGCATATTGCAGATTGTGAAGCTAAGCCATATTATAGGATGGCAAGATCTTTTTTTGTTGTCTTAAGTTGCCCGTGTTTTTTAACATGTCTGCCCCTCCTCCTCCTCCCTCAAATCCCCTCTTCTAGAAACAAAGACTTGTTTGTTCCTTCTCTGCCTGTGAGGTCTTGCAGCCTCCACTGTGTGGGTGCAGAGCCCCTTATTTAAATACTTTCCATAGCCATGGAAGGTAAGGAATAGGATGCATTAGAAAACCGGTAAGTCCTAACTCTAATAGGTAAATGAAGCTCTTTGCCTATGAATTCAAAGTACTTAAACAGAGCTGTGCGTGTCAGGATCATCACAAACCCATGACATGTAGAAAAAATAAAATGTGCTTATCTGAGATTAATAAGTGTATTCTTTATAGTTCCGATGTGAGAATTTAAAGAAAAAGAAAACAAACACAACAAAAAGAACCCAAAACAAAAAGCCAAACCAATAACAACAAAAAACTTTAATACACTCTTATTTCTCCCTGTCACTTGAAACAAGATGTGTTTTCCCTCTTTTCATTAAATATTGTTATGGAAATTATAGAAAATTAAACTTTTCTTTCTGTTTCTCTTGAAGATAGCACACTTTTGTAATCAGCCAAGATGGCTGAAAATCATTCAATGTTATTACTGTTGGGTTTTTTCTACTGGTTCTTCAGTTGGTATGTTGTTAAATGAGTAAAATTCAGTTAGCAGTATCTTTTTTTGATGTCCAAACTTTTAGTGTAATTTCACAGTAAAAATAGTTCCCTTACATGAGAAGCATCTCTATGGTCTGTTCTGAGGACTGTTTAAAATCTTGTCAATTTTAAATCTTTCTGTACTTGCCTTCTTGAAATAATAAAATGCTCAGAAAAATCCTTTTAATGAATACTTGAATAAGAATTTGGAAACTAGATTTTTAAGTTTTGTTTCTGAAGAGTTACCAAATAATATAATTAAATTTCCCCCAAAGATTTGTTGATAAATATCAAGTATACACTGAAGTCTCGAGATCTTACGATATTCCTGGTTTAGATACATTTTAGTTAGAAAAAATACTTTCAAAATGGACATTGGAAGGCATTTCAGGGATATAGGATGAGGGAATAGGATGGAAAACATCAGACAGACATGATTTGTTTCTTACAGTTTTAATGGCAAAGTCAGTAGATGGGAAGAATGGAGCAAATGGTGATCAGAGAAAACAGGAATAATACAAACAGCTGTCAGAAAGATGTGTATATAAAATAGGAAGAACTTCATGTGAGAAGGAAATTAAAGCTGCATATTAGTGGAGAAGAGCCCTAGGGAAGTAATACCTGTATAGTGCATGCAGGAAAATCGAATGCATAATGTGTTGAAGGGATGTTAGTGATATTGCACTTAAGTGTTTAACTGAGGTTAATTTTTTATGAGGTTATCTGTAACATGACTTGGCTGTGAACTGCATGAGGCAGGGACTCCATAAGCATGATTGTATAATTGGAGACTGGACCATAAAGGTGACCTTTTTAACCAAAATAAAATTGACATTCTTCAGCTTTGAGTACTTAGTTTTTCCAAGCTAGGTAGTTTGCTTTTGACTTAGATGTGCTCCTTTCAGGTGATTGTAATTTTCTAACCTTTTTCCCTTCCTTACTTTCCACTGTATTTGACCTTCCATCGTGTTTAATAACAGCTTTGAATCCTGGAACTTCTGAAGGGTAGCACAGACTTCTTGAGCTGCCAAATTGGCTAACAGCAAGAGAAGGCTGTTGTTTTATTGTCCCCTCCCAACCCCTTCATTGTCTGCCTTTAAGCTGAAAGAGGGTAGGTTACAAAAAGCAAAAGACATGGTCCTGGTCCAGACTTGATAGGATTCTGGGTAAAAAGAGAGAAGGGAGGAGAGGTATTCCCCATTCCAGTAGTGTCATGTCTACCTTGTTTAGAGGTGCTAGGTGGGCTGCCTTCATTTTTGCATTACTCTCTCTAGCTTCAATTTCACCCTAGTTTGGTAAATGTAGGTAGTCTAATTGCTGTCAGTCTTCCAGCAGAGACTCCCCAGTGGAGGTCCTGGAGCTTGGAATTACAGTTCACTGCTCACATCCTTACAGGACAGCTGTTGGTGATATTGAAACTTTTGCTGAACAGTTTCTGGTGTCTTGGGCCATGTCGACCCTCTGTGTCTGTTCAGCGGAGGAACAAGCTGTCTTGTCTTTTCCTGCTGTTGGCGTGGAGACCACAGCTCATGTTGCAAAGCTGGTTGATTGGCTCATCCAGGTCACCTTCTTCCTGAAGTTCAGTTTTGATGGTGAAATGTTGCTGAATGTCTCATAAGATCAAGTGCTTTATTTTAAGCGTTAATCCATAGCAATGTCATCTTCCCACTATTCTTCCTCCCCCGCTGGGTCAGGATGGGACTTGCAGGTTGGAGTTGAACTCCAGCCCTTTGTATTCACTCTGTTGTTTCTATTTGGTACTGGGATTCAATTTCTATTCTTACTTCACCTGTTCACTTACCTTTACAGGAAGTTTTATCATATTTGTGATCGTATGTACGAAGCTCTCTCACAAGTAACTGCATGAAAGATTATTTCAAACTACCTGGAAGTTATTTGACACTTCATTTTGTTTTCACTTGATTCATGAAAATGTGACTCACCTGTCCGTTATACTATTGTCTCTGCACTACTGAACCTATGGAATAGTTGAAAGGGTAGACTAGAGAGTTGAGTCTGTAATTTGTTTTGACTTTTTCTTTTCTGGTCTCACTCCAGTGAGCATATGGCATTTCTTCTTCATATGTTAGCTCTCAATGGCAAGATGAGCTGTGGCAAGGGGAAAAGGGAGCAAGGCTGTGAAGCAACAGCCATTTTTACTGCTATTATGAGATAGATATATTTAGGCTTTCTTGGAACAGGAGAAAAGCACTACTGTATCTTAAGTTGAACCTCAAAAGGCAGTGGAGGCTGAAGGGCTTTTCTGAGAAAAGATGGTACAGCTTCTTTATGAGATAATTCTCCTTTCTTATGATATTTAGAAGTGTTAATATTCCAGGAATCCTCTATATATGGTGAAAACACTAATTCAAACTAATGCAACAGATGGTTTTCTTTGCACCAAATCAGCCTGTCATCCTAAAAGAAGCTCACTTCCTTTTTTTTTTCTTAGTTCCCATAAACCATAATCCTTGTTCTCAGGAAAATAAAAAATCCCTTCCACTCTCCTGCATTCTGCAGTGTATTGTGAATGTTAAGAGATTCAGGTTTTTCCAGACAACAAGATGGTGAACTAATCACAAAACGGTGGAAGCCCCTGAAAATAGTGCCCTTGTAAAACATTCAGCCTTTGCCTCTCTTTCAGTATGGGAACTCTGGTGCCTCTGTTGACTTTACCCATACTGGTCTCATGTTGGGGAAAAATCAGGCTTGTCAAGTAGATGCATCCCAGTCATGAATTATTTTATAAAGTAAAATTGTCTTAGGTCTTGCTTATGGGGGAAGAGAAGATGGGCTCTCATTATGCATTAGGCGTACAATTTTTCTTCTCCACATCTCAGAAAAGATGCATCACATACTTTTGTGGGGTAAAAGAAAAAGAAGCACTAGCAAAATGTTTCCTATGTTGATGATGATATTTTTGGTTGTGTAATCATCTGCCATTTCTGTACTAGCTCTAATTTTGCATGTCAAGATGCCCTCGATGGAGTCTGTAACACTCAAAACTTGATGTGGCACAGATGTGAAAGACTGTTGCACGACCTGTACCACATTGGGAAGAATGGTAGCCTTTAACCAAATATAGTTTGATATAAGTGAGATGAGCTCTTTTGTCATTCTGTGTGTTCTCAAGTTTAATGATTCTAAGATTACACATGAATAAGAAAAGTGATTTTGTATTATTTGTGTCCAAATGGAGCATAGTTTATTAGGAGGAAGAGAGAGAGATCCTTCTAATTAAACTTGAAATATTTTACTACCGCTTTTGAATTTTTCACCACCTTACACATTTAACTGTTTTCAGAAGCTTTTAGAACGAGTATGTACTTTTGCATTGGTTTCACAGGAATAACATATGTGAGCATAAGTTTCACACTGTACATCAGTGTAGCTGCTTGTTTTGTACTGTCATGGCTTGTAATTTTATAAAGTTTTTCATATATGTCCTCTAAGGAATATACTTTCCCTGTATGTATTTGTCTGAATTTCATTTTTAAATACTTACTGTTTTGGTTCCTTAGCCATGAATCAGCGAATCAGCCAAAGTGCCCCAGTGAAACAGCCACCTCCTCTGGCTCCGCAGAGTCCCCAGGGTGGTGTGATGGGTGGGAGCAGCTCCAATCAGCAACAGCAGATGAGACTTCAGCAGCTACAGATGGAGAAGGAAAGACTGAGACTGAAGCATCAAGAACTGCTTCGGCAGGTGAGGCCACAGGTTAGACACCTACTTCCACTTTTCTTTTGTATGTTATGTTTTGTTTTGGGTAAGTTGTTGTTTTAGTGAGTCTGAAGGACCAGTGACTGTGTGAAAAGCTTTGAGATCTAAAAAGATCTGAATTAATTCTGTTACTGATATCAGCTTGATGGTGAAAGTATCTGACTTATCAGACTAAAGGATTTTGCTTTCCTCCCTCATTCCTCTCTAACAAAACTCCCTGAGAACAGGCTGCTTTACTATTAGGATGGCATCATGGACTGTTGATCTGATTGGATATTCCTCTTGAGAATATATTTCATATTCATTGAGTTCTGAGTCATGCAAAAAGGCAAGAAGTTGGTTCCCACAGCTGCTGTAGTTCTCCGTTTTAAGTGGAGGAATGTCTTTCACCTTTAGACCATGTTGCAGTCTGTAGGATTTCAAAGTACTTTTCAAGTTTATACAGGATACATTGAGGAGACACCTTGTTGCTAAAATCTTGTCTGTTAAACAGTGAAGTGTAGCATGGAACAACTGAATCGCTTGTGCTGCAATTTGAACCTGTGGTTTTCTTATGCTGAAGAATCTCAAACTTCGTAATTAGGCTGCAAGCTATTCTTTCAGTATTTTTCTACTGTATTAATATAGCTGTAGCAAATGTTAAAGTGGAGGACTGGACATTGGAATATCTGGATTTTGAATTCGGGCTTGGCTTCTTTTTGACTTTAAGCCTTCTGCTTCGATTTTTCCATCTCAAATGTTTTAAGAGTTACTACCATCTGTGATAGATTCTTAGAATATTCCTTGTCTTTTTGACACTGCCAGAAAAAGCACTAATCCTTTCTTTGAGGAAAACCTTGTAAAATCTTACCCTGTTCACTTTTCACTTTGGGTGATGGGCCTTGTATCAGGAGAGGATAGTATCTTCATGTCCTCAAAGACAGCTTTTCTTTCTTCATCACCTATAGTACTCTGTCCTGGAATCTGACTGCTGTTATCCTCTTTGTAGTCAAGGCTTGTTTTGTAGGAATCTTCAGTATTTCTTGGTGTAAGATGGGCCATCTTTAGAGCTGTTACTTTTTATAGTACTCTAGGTAAGAATACATTGCAAAGGTGGCATCAGGACTTTCTCTCCGCTTAAGCACCTGGGCTTCTGCTGTTCCTGCTTTGCAATTAATCCACCATCAAACGTTTTACCCTGTGCTAGCATGCTTCTAGGTAGGCCTTCTAATTGTCTTCTTGCCTCAGTTGTCATTAAGAACCTGACTAACTTTGAACCAGGTGAGAGCCGGTTCCCTTCTTGTTGTTCTCCCTGGTTGTTAAGCTTATCTGTCGAATACGCATCCTTGGTAACTCTGCAGTATTGTTTCACTGTGTCGTGATTTTCATAGTGTCTTAACTCCCTTATCCTGTCTCATCTGGCCTATTTTGGGGGCTTGATACTACAAGATGGTGTTTATAAGACAGTCTGCATAGGCAAACCATGCAGCTAAAGTAATTTTTATCCATCTTATTTTTACTCTTAGGCATTGCGGAATATCAATCCCAGCACAGCAAATTCTCCAAAACATCAGGTAGGCTCTTAACTGATGTTTCAGCATAATTAGAAAAATGAAAGCATTAAATTAGGCTAGCAGGAGAACTTTTTGCTACATGAAGCCATTCTAAAAACGAAAAACAAAAAAACCAACTCTGCCATACACATTTTTGAACCACTTCTCTGGTCACGACCCCAGCGTTGTTTTTAAGAGTGCTGCATTACCACAACATTATATCAATATTTAAAAGCAAATGAGGAATTCATTGCACATTTTTCTGCATTGAAAACAACTTTCTTGTTTAGCATTCTTGAGGATACTGCTTTTCCAGTCCTGATGTCGTCAAGATGTGTATTAAAAGCAAACCTCTGATTTTACGTAAGGTAGTAGTTCGTGACTTTGAAGTACTATTCAGATGAATGTTCTTATCAGTTTGTGTAAACAGGTGTGATCTTAATGAAGGATATCTGTAATCAGTTAATAAAAAGTCACTTGAAATATTTATGATTTTTAAGCCTGTACAGTGTAACAGAATAATTGAATAGATTAGACTAAAAAATACTTGCTATGGGGATATATGTAATTATTCCATTTGGACATTCAACAGGCTCCTGTACAGATACATTTTCTGTGTAGGAAGCAACAATTCTGAAAAGCCTTCTAAGCCCAGACCAAAAGAAAATGGGTCAAAATGCAAAGGATAATAAACAGTTTAATGTGGACTTATTTCAGGCTCTTAAGAAGCTGAATATGGAACGAATCTCTGAAAGGGTGGGTTTATGGTTTTATTCAGAGAGCTGCTTGCTTGCTATTGCTAACAGTATTCTTAATCTGCTGGTTCTTAGGACAATATTTATATTGGCTCGCACTGTACTTTGTTTTTCTAAGAAAAAAAGCTATACACACTGGGCAAGAAAAACAGAATAAAAGAAAGTATCCTGTGTTTGGAAGCCATGGATATTGCATTCTGAAGAGTACTGCAAACTTTAAGTTACTAGTTCTCCTGAGAAGATAATCTGCAAAATAGACCTTAGAAACGGGTACTGACACTCTGGAAAAAATACTTTAATGTTTGTCAGTATCAGTGCAGCTCTAAAACGGAAGCATTTTAATTGAAATGTAATGATTTGATTTATTTACAGAGCATTAACTGCATAATGATCTCATTGATCAACATTAGATCCTGTTATGGAGGATGAAAAATTTATTTAAGAATTGCTGGTACACAAGGGAATAAAAAGAGAAGCACACTCCTCCACACCAGTTGGAAACACCTTATCTTCTGCCACAATTAGATCATTCAAAAGGGATGTTTTTCTTACTGAATGCCAGAAGCATATTCTATGTTTTCTTGTATGCCTGAAGCCCTGTCATACAATTGTTTGCTCTTCTACAGTAGCTTTTTCCTGTAGCCAACTCAGAAATATGCAGTAAATGGAGAACTTTGGGATCAGTTTCATACTTAAATCAATAAGATCAGATTTTTGCAACTTCTTGAAATTCTGGCTTAAAACTAAAAAGCTGTAAAAACTCAAAAGGGACTTTATTGATAATTCATTAGATGTTTGTGTAGTGGTCTCTCTGCTTTTTGGGGGATGGGAACTGATGAAAGGATTTGTGCAAAAATCAGGATTCCAGTTACACGTAAACTTGCTTCATAACAGGCTCCTCACCTGTATACTCACCTGCTTGGGATCAGGTTTGTTAGTCTGCACTTGCTCATGAGTCAAGCTGTGTTTGGGTGATCTGGTGGATAGAAAAGTAGGCAATCATGTCAGCCTAAGAGTTGTGTAATACTAGATTATATATGTTATATCATCTAAACGTATTTTTTGTGTTTTCATGTGTCACTTCAATAATGTAGTGGACATGTGGAAGAAGGTGCTTAGAGAACTGCTTCTGGAAATTTTCTCTAAATGCTTCTTGGGGCCTTGCGCTATAGGGGCAAATGTTGTCTGTCTTCTCCAATAATGGTGTTATTGAAGTCCCAATCTGTACAGCCTGTAAGGCCATAGTCAACCTAGTGAATCTGAAAAATCTGTAGAAAGAACGATCATTTCTTTGGTCAACTTTTTCTTTTTGATAGATCCTTTCTTCCCTTTGTGAATAAAATTAATGAATCTCAGAGGAATTACTTGCTTTCATGATGATAAAGCTGTGCTTGGGAGGAGAGTAATAGCTTCTTTTGCTAAATTTTAGATGTTCTTTTAGGGAATACTGAAAACAAAATTTTCATCCGTTCAGTGCTCTTAATTCTGGCAAGACTAAGTCTATTTTAGAGAGGGATTGTCCAAGTCTTCCATTTATAGAGAAATTACATAACACCAGCATTCTTGAAGCTTGTCTCTAGTGAAGTATCTCTTTTTTATGGGTAAAAAAAACCTGAGAAACGTTCCTTAACTTTTAACTGGATCTCTGAGCTTTTCTTAATCACAGAGTCAAATAGGTTGGAAGGAACTGTTGGAGGTCATCTAGTCCAACTGTGCGCATCCAGTCCAACCTCCTCTTCTTGACATTTTTGTCCACATAACCTGGGTACAGTGCCATGGTTATATTGCTATCTTTGGTCAGTTTTTTTTGCTACTGAGTGAACATTGTGTCCTTGCCAGTTTTCAGCTCTGACATGATTCCGTAGTATCCTGTAGTGATACTAACAGTCAAAGTGTTATGTATAATCCTGGAAAGATTAAACAGTTGCTCAACTTTATCTTTAGTAGCAAGTACTGTAAAAGACTCTTGTTTGAATGAGGATGTATTTTGTTATAATTCTAAAAGTGTCAAAGGTATTTGAAGAAAACTCATATTTGCTCTAGATAAACAACAGCTATTGATACATCCAGGGAATCTGAAAACATCAAGCATCTGTCCAGTTACTTACACTCATCATCATCACCTGTCTGTGAACACCTTAAAGATGCCTGTCTTAGTTAAGAGATCGAGTGACTTGACTTTCTCTCCATCCCCTGTAGCTCTCCTTCAATTTTCTTGCAATTAGCATCTGGTTGTCAACAATGTCTCACCTAAAGCAGATGTCGGTCAACTTGTGTATAAATCATAAAATTGACTAGATGTTAGGTGACATTTCTTGTCTTCCAGTATATGATGGAAAGAGAGAAGGGAGAGAGGGGCAAATAGTGTTGAGGTACTGATGGCATTATTCTTGGATGTTGTGCAGACTACTTTCTTGTGCTAAGACTGGAAGATTTCTTGTCTGTCACTAATATTAGGGTATTTGCTAGTAAGATCATCCTACTACACAGTGGTTTAGGTGATCTGCTGCTTGTTTCTAGCACTGAGTGGAGATCCCTATCTGAGGACCAGATACAGCCCTGCTTCCTTGCTACTGTGCTCAGTTGTGCGTTCCAGCTTACCTTTCTGTTATGTCTGCACTGCTTTTGTGGAAATTGTGTGTACCTGGAATGTGCTCTCTGTTCATTGTCTCCATTCTTTTGTCCTTCGTATTTTATAAATTACTGCTCACATTGTCTGTCCTGTGGCCCAGGACTTATTTCTTTGCAGCTTTTGAGTGACATTCTGGAAATTCTGAAGTATCTGCAAAGGCATACGGCCAGTCTGTCATTATTTGCTGAATCACTTGGTTTTGTTTCATAATTTTTTTCATATTTGCTCTTACTGCATATAAAATATAAGCACTTAGAGTACCGAATAGTTACTGGGCTTGAAATATTGTTTTTTTTAGTTTCCTTTTTTTAAAAAGTTCATCTTGGTGTTTGACACCTTTCATCAGCTTAGCCGAGAAGATTTCCAGTGTTCCAGGAAAGTGTTAATTTCTTAGGACACTATTAGTATTTTTTTCAATAAAATATTTTTTCGGTCACTTTGGATGCACACCAATAAAAAGCTGTGTTACTGTCAGATTTGTGACATTTCTAGAAGGTAAGGAAGGCATCATTAAAAACAAATACAGTCTTGAATTCTGTACCCTTGACCTTCCATGATGTTAGTGAAGTTGGAAGTTTTAATGAGATTTTGGGTTGTGGGGTTTTTTTTTTCCTCTTCCCTGTAATGTGTCTTTAAATAACAAGATATATTTGTATTCTAATCTTAGTGGAAACGGTGGGCAAAAGTTATTTTAGTCCCATAGTGAACTTCAGTGTTGTCCTTTGAATCTCTGGTTTCCCATCCCTCTGTGTGTTATCTGAAGCCAGCCTAGATTAACAAAATAAATGACTTGTCTTGGTTTCATCAAGGGTGTTTGAGTTGGGGGTGGTTTAGTGTTGGCTTTTGGGTTTTTTTATTGTTTTGTTTTGGTTTTTTTAACAGAGATAAGGTACTGAAGCCAGCCATTTAGTCTTTGAGCATGGCTTTTTTGACTAGTGAAGATATGACCACTGGTGTATAGAAATATTTTTGAAAATGACATTTATAAGATGCAGGAAGAAAATAAACAAGTCACTTGCAGCAAATTCATAGCTGTATTGTGTCCCTCAGTTTTAATTTGCCTTACTGCTTGATATTTGATAGTAAAAATGGTCTGTGATATGTCTTATTATGAAGAGATACCTTATGTGAAAAGTTTTGAAGAGGACTAGCTAAGACATAATGAAAGGGTCTTTCCAACAAAGTTTTTTTTCCCATCTAAAAATTTTGCTTCTGATTGAACTTTTTTTAATCAATTGTCACAAAAATACCTGAAACTTCTCATTTTCTTGGAAGTAAATATTGTATCCCTCCTTTTGTTGTGTTTTACTCACTTGATAACTCTTTTTACTAGTCCTAAATTTTGCTTTGTCCTTTGTGGTTTAAGTTTTCCGTTAGATGTTCCTTTTACACAATGAACAGAAATTGTTACCAATTTCTTACTCTCCAAAATCAATAAAAAAATATTATTGGAGAACTGTCACACAGATACAGGAGCTGAGCAGCGTGTATGATATCATAAGGAACTTGAAGATACCAAGTAGTCAGAAATCATTTCTGTATGCATTTATCTCAGTTTTCATTGAACTGTTGATACATTATCGTTAGCAGGAATATTATACTTCATTAGGTAACAAAACCTTTGTTATTCACTG